ATATGTAACAATGCTTTGCATTACTCTCAAATAAAAATAAATAAATAATCAATGATAATAAATTGAGACTATACTTACAACAATAGGCATCAGATATTTAACTATTGTGTGAACAGTTAATAGTTCATAACATAAGCCAAACGGTCTGATTAAAGCATAAATAACTGGCACTGTTAAATTACGTCCACTTTGAAATCTCGAAAGCAAAATTTCAAATCCATTGAGACTCCCAAATCTGAAATAAAAGTTTGTGTTAAATTTATGTTAAAGTAAAACGTTTTGTACATATACAAAACTTGATAAAAAAATACCTGTTTATAAGATCTACTAGCCAACCACGAGGAGCTCGTGAATCAGATGGTGGGCGAGCATAAAGTTCCTCATCAGGAATATCACTACCAGGAGGAACAGTTTCCGAAACTCTTATTGCATTTACTGTGTGAAATCTGAAACAAATTTGGACAATTTAGAACAATCACATAGAAAACTTGTATTTACATAATTTCACAATAACAATATTCTTACTTACTTATTACTAGGATTAAAAACCATGGCCAATAAATCAAGTAGAGGAAACCAGTCCTCATCTAATTTAAGGACACATAGTTCCACCAAACGTGCACAATTAGTATTGATACAATTATGAATATTTAATTTCCAACTGTTCACTGCATCATCTGTTAATATCTTGGTAAATGAGATTGTGAGACCTTCTCGAAAAAAGCGCTGACACGCTTCACTTTGTACATCAATTCCTATAATACAGTAAAAACAAAATTAATGCATCTTATAAATACAAAATAAGCGCTCCTATATAAAAATGTTGAAACATCATAAAGATGAAATTATTTTTCTGGCATGTGCAAGAAAACAATCAATCTTAAAAATTTATAAACAATACAAAACCTTTTTTACAAAGTTCGATACTGGCTTGTAACAGGCACTCTAATTCTTGTTCGGGCAGAACTGGTACAACCCATCGTGGACTAGAAATCTTTTCATGAAGCATATTAAGTTTGAAAATAGGAAACTCAGGCTCTTCATGAAGCTGGTTGCTATCTTCTACTGTAGTGATAGCATCATTGTTGCATTCTGTTTGTACCACATTCTCGGTGAGTTGAAGTCCCGACATTGTATCAGCCAATTGCTGTGGACCTGGTGGACTGTGCATCTGTAGAGATATTTTTTTTCAAAATCCATTTTCACTTTATCACAATCGAGATATGTTTCACGCTACTTTCATTGGTTGGCTCTCAAATCTATGTACCTGCGTATTTTGCTGGCTGTCGGAAGGGTCTATGCCAACTCCCTGGCCCCTAGTGGCAATCGTCATTTTACACGTTCTTTGTTATGCCTTAATTGTCTCAATATTTCTTGGTCCAATGATTACACCACCAATAACAAGCATCCAGCTTATATACTGACATTAAATATAATTATATCCTAAAGGCCTTGTTTTAATAAACTATACCTACATTATCTGTAACAAAGGAAAGGAATTTTAACAACACGTTCTTGGACACTGATAAAAAGCACAACTAAGCAGATGTGTCGTCAAGTTGTTTAACTATATTGTCCTCAATAGCATAGTCAAACTAACAACGACAATCATCAAATTCAATTTACAATCCAAGCATGCGAGAATTTAAATTTGTCACAGCATCGCGATGGCACAGTTACATAAGCGTTTATTTTCTCGAGGAAGACCCAACGAGTGACAATTCGCGAATCAATGTATAATCGGCAGGACAAAGACTAATATAATCATTATCATCTTCAAGAAAATCTCGAGCGTATAAATCGGCGCGATTTGATTCCACAGCTATGGATGGAGCATCTCGACCGGGATTGAATGCATCTACAAATGCGTGCGAGATTTTATCAAATAATGCGATTTTATCAAACATGCGAAATGACGCATGTTACGGGCGCTTCAACGGAACGGCGTGAGCCGTTGAGCAACGGCACGCGGACGGGATAGAAAATTAAAGGCGAACAGGAACGGCGGTTGCGAACGGTTAACTTTCAAGACACGCGCAACACAACTTGGACTAGTTGTCAACGTCGACGTCATCGTCGTCGCTCGCTCGGATGTCCCGCTGACGCACGGCCGAACTGTCAACGTCGTCAAGATACTCCGAGGAGGGAGCGGCCATGCCGGTCGGCGGAGGCCTCATCCGAGGAGTGGTGCGCATCGCGAGCACGCGTCTTCCCTGGGGAATCGGACGCAGCCGGCGATCGGCCCGCCCACGTCGCGGCAAGATACGCCACGCGCCATCGAGAGACGTGAAATCGGCGTAGCGCTACTTGACTGGCGGACAACTGGCGAGCGACTTTGTCGGGATGCCTGACCGTGAGTCGCTCGAACCGCCGCCGAGACGCGCCGATCCCTGCGAACTCCAGACCATCCGCAACGGTCGACGGTGACAGCAACCGTGCGGGTCCGCTACCTACGCAATTACAACAATCCTCGCGGTCCAGGCAGCGCCTATTTTCGCCCCGTTCGCTTCGACCGGGCTACCACTCCGGACAAAATGGCGACTATCCTAACGATTGGCACTGCCGTGTATTAACAAAAGCGCCGATATTCCGGCCCGATAACCGACCGTGATCACGCAAGTCGCGTCATGTTGTGCGGAAGGACATCCGGGGCCGTTGACGATCCGCGCGTTGCATCTCAACCCCTGGGGAACGCACCTTTACATAGTAAACGTGGTAGAAATTCGTGTGTTGCACTTTTTTGACGTGACGTTACGGAACTCAACTCGCAAAATCTGTAAACACGACTGCCGCGGCGCTGCAGTGCTCGCCCGAGACGACGTGCGTGCACGACGGGGTGACGAGCGACGCCTGCGATTGGCCCTGGATCTCTTGTCGCTGAACATCGCTGAACGTCGCTGAACGTCGCCGTCGATAGCGCGGGAACGTTCGATCAATGTCGTTCACACTAGGAGCTTTATTCTCGAAAGATATTGCACGTATTAGGAAAATTTATATTCCCAAAAATATTAGAGAAATCTATAATAATAATAATACAAAAGTAAAGTACTTTCATACATTTTGTACGCGATATTTTTTGAGAATAAGCTTCAGATCCTTTCGATTCATTTCAAGAAGTCGCGATGATGTTCTGATGAAAATTTTTCTTAGAATTTTTATATAAAATTTCTCCGAATTTTTAGATAGAAATGGACCCTAAAGTGATTTCTTAATTAATTTAACTCTGCGCGAAATAGAATTGCTTAAAAAAAATTGTCATTTTCCGATAAATCTAATCTTTCTTGTTATCAAATAAAAAATTAATTCTATTCATGTTAACAAAGCAGGACTCGCATTAACTAAGTATTACTCGATAAGTTACATTAATCGTAGGTGATCCAAATTTCTAACAGTAGTTTAGTTGCTCGATATTTTTCTGTGGATAGAATTACTAATTGTTCGTAGTTTGAAACGAAAAAAAATTGAATAAATATAACGAATTATAGTTATAATAATACAAGTGCTTTAGTTCAAGTACTTCTGTTAAGTCAATTAGTTAAAAGTTCAATCAATTTTATTGATTCAATTATATTATAATAATTATATCTTATTATTAAATAAACAATTATTTAATCAAATTTTGATTAAAGTTGTCTTCTAAAACAAATTTCCTATTATCTATTTCTTCTTCTTGCTATGCATTTTGTTACAAGATAGAAAATAAGGCAAAAATAACATATTTTTATTGTTGTATTTTTAATAATGTTATGCACTTGAAATGAAAGAAGCAATATTTTAATAAAATAAAAGAGAAATATAAAACGTGTAAACAAAGAGATATATTCTTGTTATTTAAATTATTATCTTGTATTATTTTCTATCATATTTTTTCGCATTCAGACTACTATTTTGTATTAAAATTAATTCTTTGTATTAAAATTAATTCTTGTCGCAAATATAGACACTAACATTTTTACATAAAAAAATAACTGAATTTTACGCGTTTTTTCGTGAAATAAGTTTTAAAATGTAAATTACGAGCTTATTTTGGTGAACAGGGCATATCTCATTTGATATCCAATCAACAACTTCTTTAGAAATTTATTTTCATAAATGTCATCTGACTGTACATAACATTCGTAATTACTATTCTTGTATATATCATATTAGTTTCTTATTAATATGTTCTTATATATTCTTTAAGTGCAGTTGAATAGATTTTGTCATTTTGGAAAAATGTTTCAATGCTTTATTTATATTTAATAATTATACAATTACGCTAATTATACTTATGTCCATGTTGAAAATTACAAAAAAAATGTATACCCTAATATAATACAAAAAAAAAATTGCAATTTAAATTTTCATCTAAAAATATCGTACATAAGAAAGAACAAAACTTAATTAGAACATAATCAAAATAATAATATAAGTGAAAAAATGTTAAGTATACAAATTTCAAGTATACAAGTATACAATTTAAGTATACAAAAAGTTTCCTTTTCAGAAATTGATAATCATTATCTTCATCTGAATATCATAATTTTCGATTGCAAAAGACTACACCAGATAATATTTTTATAAATGCGCAGAATAATAAGATATTTAAATGCAAAATCTACTGCACTAAATATTTGTTACACAAGACTTCAAATATTAAAAAATAATTTTTCGTACAAAAGAAGATAAAACAGTGTGAACAGATTATAAGAACAGTAATATATTTTCATATTGTCGAAAACGCATTTGAGAAAATTCCAATAAATTTTTAATCATAATAATGAACTTTTAGCTAGTCAATAAGCAGCTTTCGTTAATTTAGTAATGATTATTCAAATGCACACAATGATTTAAAACTTTAAGATTTTTAGTTAAGATTGGTAATAAACACTGCAATATTATCTCTATCATCATCTCTCAATGTATATTAGTAATAAATTCAGGAAATACATAAGTAATCCTCCACTAATACTAAATACGATACTATTAGCAGAGTTCTTTGTTGATTAAAACTAATATAATTGTCTGTTATTATTTATGTGTACGAACACAATTCTTGGATTCAGTCAAAACGGAACTTTTTATATGCATTCAGTATCGATTGGTAACTGATGAGAGAAGAGAGGAGATATTTTCAGATTTGATTGTATCCAAAATTTCTCATAATCTCGTTGTTTTTTTCAAGTTGTAAAGGTGAACAATTTGTTTTTCACCTACAAGTGTCTCTTGCAATCATTTTATTTCAAAAAAGCCACTTTTGTCATAGCTTTATCTGTTTATCGAGTTATTCTGTTTAATATTTGGATGATTTATCATAAAGTTAACTCTTCAAGTTCTTTTAGCAATTCATCTTCCTTTTTAATCTTGTCTAATTGATTAATTTCTAATTGTTTTCCTGCTTTCAACTGCTCTTTCAATTTCGAAATTTGATCTAATTTCTGTGACACAAATTGAAATTGTTAATTCTTAATAATAATGGAAACAGAAGAAAAAAACATCATATTAGATATTCGAATGATATACTTACACTCGTTATTTTCTTTATTTTTTTATTTTTTTCAGGATCGTCAGTTAGTTCTATTTTTATGCTCGTTGTTGTACTTGAAACATGCTCGGTTGGATTGTTAGACTCTAATTCTTTTTTAGCTTTTTTTGCTTCTCGATTCTTCTTCATTTTTAATGCAGCTTTTGATGGATTTGCTATAAATAAATAAACAACAAATTAGAATTAACAAATTGAAATAGAATTACAATAAAATATTTTTTTCATATATATTTATATATTTACATTCACTTGATTTAGAAGGCATCTCAAGATCATCATGTAACTTAAATGTAATATTTTGTCCTCTGGCACATGGTGGTCTGTATGCTTCTTTTGGTGCTAGAAATATACACACAAATTGCTATATTTATTACTATATTTATTTTGAAAATGTTTAGAAACATATTCTAAAATCATCATAATATGATTATTACCTTGCGATTGATTATCATTAGTGACAATTCCCTCAACTGCTTTGTAACTAATAGGTTTTTGTGGGAAAACATTCGAAGGGAAACTTTGCCACGCTACTTCCCAAAGTTCTTCTTGGTTATTCCATGGTCGTTGATATATCAATGAGCCGGTATAATGCCAAATTTTAAATCTATATAATAATTTAATACACATATTAATTTTGCAACAGAGATAAATATATTTTTAATTTAGCACAATTTCTTTTAGTATATATTTATTAGTATATTTATTTACCCATTGGTAATTCGTAATCTAGGTGCTGTAGTTGCAGTCATGAAATGTTCTCCATCTGGTGACCACCGCAGCAGTGTAGTATCTGGTGCATCAGTTTTAGCAATGAGTTTTCTATTAATGACATCCCATAATTCGATGCCGCTCCTAAGATTACCAAATCCAGCCAAAAGCAATAGTACACAGTAGTCAAGGAAATGAATGCATAAATAAATACTTTCAATATATACAATTACTTTCTACTACAAGAGTACTATCTATAATTAACAACTATTTAGTTATTCAGTTATCAATAATATCAATATGTACATTAGTTCGTAATAAGATAGTAAAAGGATATTGTTGCCATGTGGATTATAATATATACTATTTCTATACAACATGCCAAACTCAAAGACAGCTTCACATTTACAATTAAATAACGTTGTTTTAGATGGCATAAAGCCATATATCACACAAAATTCTGTGTTCCTGGGAGACCATTCTACTGCATGTATAGGACCTTCTTTACCTAGCAGAAGAATTTCTATATGTTATTATTTTAAAATTAATTTCATTTATTCTGAATTTTCAATTAGTATTGAAAATTTAGAATAAATGAAATTAATTTTAAAATAATATAATTGAATAATATAATTGAAAACAACAATATTTTAATATAGACTTACTGAGCATAACCATAGCAGTCTCCCCTTTTATATTGAGATGATGCAATGTCTGTTTTCCATAATATGATGCACCGGTCTTATCAACTTCTGTGTTTGTCATCAATAAGACATTTGTTCCACATTGATTCCAATACATATCGACTTTATCTGCCTAAAAAATAATAATAATAAATCAAATAAAAGAAACTAATATATATATATA